CACACACACACACACACACACACACACACACACACACACACACACACACACACACACACACACACACACATAAACTGCTCTGAGAGAAAGTTACTCTCACATAGATGCATGCCGTTGCAGGATTTGCATCTGAATGACAACTTTTGTTGGTAAATTCAAGGGTCCTTGGAGATTTTGCACATTCTGTTCAGAGTGAGGCAGGCCAGTGGGAACAAAGTCACACATTAGCAAAGCCCTGCCAGCCTCAATTATGACCAAAGGGATTGGCTTGATAGTGTTGCAGCAGACCACATTCAGAACTGGATGTGTCTATTTAAACTTTCCTGGCCACTTCCTTTATGTTTTCCAGCAGTAGAATACAGCGGATGGCAAATTCCTGTGTCGAGAATGACGCAGAGGAGATTCGAGGTTCTCTGCTGTTGAATTCTGTTTTATTCTGTTCTATTTTATATGGAAGCCTTGGTCTTTGAATCTAGTTTTCATGTTTGGGAAAAATCCATCTGTAATGGATGTGCTCGAGCTTTGTTCTCTCTAGACTGTATGCCTAGAGGTTCTTTCCCTGTCTCACACTTGCTCCGTCTTTTTCTCTCCATCTCTCTCTGTCTCAGAACGTTTGAGATAGAGAATCCAGGAGTTTGGCTGCAAGCTTGTGGGCTTTCGCCTCCATATTTCATATGCATTATGAGACACCACTGATTAAATTGCAAGTGTATGCCATGACTCGTCCTCCTTCAATTTGTAATAAATGTCTGCTTTTTTCCCTCGGTTTTCTCATTTTCTGTCTGTGTTTCTTGCCTTCTCAGGGGGCTGCAGATTGGATGAATCAGACTTTATGCCTGTTTCAAAGCCCAAGGTGTTTTATTTATAGGGAAAAAGTACATTAACGCCTCTGCGAAATCTTTGGAAGATTTATCAAGCAGCATCCTCGCTGCCTCTCAGCTTCCTCACTGCCTCACTTGAACTGTGATACCTGAAGTACAGATGTGTGTTGTTGGGCAGTGTAACGTATCTGTCTGTCGATCCGGTGTGTGTTTTCATCCCTCCACCCTTGCCACCATCTTACCATCATGGCCATGCTGTGACATGGCTAGCTCTGTTGTCATGGCATTTATAATTCAGTCTTATCAATAAAAGATGGATGGCATTAAGTTTTTATTTGGTGATGCTGTGCTGCTGTCTCTTAGAGCCTCTTTACAAGCGAATGACTGAAGAGCAAAACTTTCCTCTTCTGTTCTGACTTCCAGGCATCACTTGGCATTAGTATAACCTTAGATGATCCTTAGTCCTCAAACATGCTTTTAGAAGCTCATTCCCTATGATCTCATATTCCGCTAGCTTACTCCCCAGCCCTTCCTCTCCGAGCCCCCAGCCTTTAATGAGTTTTGCTGAGAGTTATATTTACTCATGTTGTCTTGTGCTTTTGTCTAAAGTGCAAAAATTCCTCTTTCATTCAGTCTTATCCGGCTGAATCAGCATTGTCGTTTCGCAGTTCACTTAGTGCAAAAAGCTGATGTGGGCAGAGCTTTGTCAGGAAAACGAGCTCTAAATCATCCCAGTTTACAGAAACAACATGGCTTGCCTTGCATTATGAATGTGTACAAGCCATCACACTGGTCATGTTATTGGAGACTGAGAAGAGCTTGGCTAAGTACTGCTGTTTCCTAACGGTTGTCCATCTCTGTTTTTCCGCACATCTTCAAGGTATAATGGCTCCTGTCTGTTTGGACGTTATGGTTTCCTTTTTTCTTTGCGGTTTCATGTAGCATCTGCCACCCAGAGAGATAAACAATACGGGTAGATAAAAGAGAGCGGGTGAGAGCAAACTGGAAAGAAAGGACTGTATGTGTCAGTTAGAGCTGATAAAAGCCTGAAAATCCAATTAGTCCTCAGTATCTTGGGGAAGGAGGAAAGCCTCTTGGGAGTGATGTCAGGAAGTATCCACCACCATAGCATGTCAATAACACAGCATTTACATACTTGGCTATTGATAGTTCAGCGTGTAAAATCGAGCTGGATGTTTTCTTGTAAATCAGGACTATATTTGGTATTCTGTTCCTTGATGGGTTTTGCCCACATCAGCCCTTTGAACAGATAGAAAACTATCAAAGGGAAAGACCGTACCTTCCACTCCACAAACTGGAGTACTAGCTTAATATAAGCCAACTGAACCTATTCTTTATTCACTGTAGATGTGCTGGAATCCATTTTGGTGGCGAGGTAATTATTGTTGAATACAAACAAAGCTGGTTAAATGTGTGTCTTTCTTTTGCTGTTTTTTTTTTTCTTGTGGATTTCCTTGTTGCTGTTGTCGTGTTTTCATCCCATGCCAGATATGAAAGAGGGAGAGAGAGCACGAGAAAAGAGCAAGGACAATTTCAAAGCGCGTAGTGCCCTGGGTCAGAGCTCATGTGTTCCTCCAGGGAAGAACCACATGCCCTGAGAGTAGGGAAGCAGAGCAAACACAGCTGCTGTTGTACATTTTATTCGTATGCACGGGTTCACATGCTCGTGGTGTGTATTTGTGTGTGTAGGTTTGTGCCTTTTGTGCAAAGCAAGTCAAGTCCATGGAGGAGGAAGGAGGACATGTGTGGGTGTTTGTGTGACAGGGAAGACCTTAATGAGCACAATCCGGACAACAGTGCGGACCGGAGAGGAACAGGGAGTTTTGTGTTGGAGAGGAGCTCTCCTATATTCAGCCCACACTCACTTCGTCTGCTGTGACTCTGCGCATGTAAAGCTCCTCTCGTAATCACTTCTTCCCTTAAATGTTTAACGCATTTCAAATCTTTGCTTTTCATGGCGTCATCTTGTCTTTGATAAGCGCATCAGTTGTGTACGTCTGCATCCAGGCACTGTTGCATTTGTGTTCACTTGTGTCTGCTTCTCCCCATGGTTGAACTATTTTCCAGTCAGGTTTGTTGTTAAGGTGGAGCTCCAGTCCCAGCAGAGAGAGTTCGCAGTTATGTTGTTGTTATTGTCTCCATCTTCAAACAAGGAGTGCTCTGGCCACATACTCCTTGTGGACTCACAAACACGCACACACGCTCAAACCCCCACCTTTCTGTGACAGTGGAGCATCTCGGTGGATATTCACTGCGGCTTGTAAACCATGTTCATGATTATGGTCGTTGGGGTGTGTGGCTACTCTGATAAAATAGGGACAATCGATCAGTATTTCTCTTTAATAATAAATATGACATCTAACAGTTCAGTGAAAGGGACATGGAGTAAAATTGTTTTATTTAATTAAGTCTGCTTTGATTTAAAAGTCCATATGTATGTTTCATCTAATATTTAATCGTCAGTGTTAAAAATTACACTGCAGTGAAACACATTTATAAGACAGGTTCTTGCTTTATGTACTGAGGTTTAATAAGGAGTGAACGTGGCTGAACAGCAGCTATCGAATCACTTGTGTCTATTGCTTTGCTTTATTCCTGCAGTCATTGTTCCTGCAGCTCAGATTGTGCTCAAGACTAAAAAGTCAGGTAACTACTGCTGCGTGTTTGCAGGGAAGCATAACCAACGGTTGCCATGGTAAACTCAGGGGGATATGGTGTTAATGAAGAAGAGTTATTACAGAGCTAATAGGATTGTACTGTAATTTTGGTGAACTGCATGTAGAGATTAATTCAGAAAAGGCTCTATTTAGCACATAGTTCACTCTAATTGTTTTGTTAAACTTTCACAAGGAGAGCGGAATTTGTAATTTTCTGCACATCTAGAGGCAGTTTGCTTTCACTGATGTCGGTGATATTGCAACAATTATTTTTCCTTCTTTCATTTCCACAGGTACTTTAGTGCTTTCTCTGTTCCACACTGTGTTGACTTGGTATCATTTGAAGTCGGCGTTATCTAAATGTTTAAAGCAGGAGTCTTTTTCTCTCTTCACATTGTCACGCTGCTCACTGACCCCTGTCTTCATTTTCCTCTTCTCATCCTCTCTTCCTCTGTCTTTCTCCTTCACCTCTGCTCCCTACCCCTCCTCCAACCCCACCTCATCCCTTACATCCACCCTAACCCTCTCAGGGGGAGGTGAGGCCTGAGCTGGCCCTGGGCCCAGGCCCATTAGCCCCAGCCTGGCAGCCATGTGCTCATCACCAGAGATCATTACACCCAGCCAATGACACCACTCTAATGCATCATTAATGATTGATTAACGAGCTGAGATCAACCCAAACGGGTGCATTTGTACGGAAGAGCACCCTGTAATGGCTGCACAAGGCTTGCATCTGCTATTTTTTTTTTTACTGTGTTTTGTGTGTGTCCATGTGTGGGGGTTTTATTTTCATCAGTCTCTCTTTGTGTCTTGTCTCTCAGGTTGAGTGAGGAAGCTGCAGACTCCTGTGTGTGAAACGAAGAGCTGAGGAGGTGACTGCAGGGTAGCGTGATGGCAGGGCGGGTGCTCTCCGCCCCTCTCCCTCTTCTTTTGCTCCTCCTGGTGGGAGTGCTTCCTGTGGCCCAGGGCTCTGGCTACCTGTCTGGATATCGCCTGAGGTCTCGCCTGCAGAGGGACCGCCACATCCGTAACATCCGACCCAACATCATCCTGATCCTCACTGACGATCAGGACATAGAACTGGGTTAGATGTTTTCCTCCCTTAATCATTTCCTGTGTGTGTGTGTGTGTGTGTGTGTGTGTGTGTGTGTGTGTGTGTGTGTGTGTGTGTGTGTGTGTGTGTGTGTGTGTGTGTGTGTTTGTGTATCTGCCTCTCTCTATTTGCTTTGTGTCCATGTCCCATGGGTATGGATATTCTCTCCATGTGTATCCAACAGCATCAGCAAGGGAAAGTCAGCCTAATGCTGCCTCTTGGCACCATAACAACTGGTCCACTCAAAGTCATGTGCTCCCCTTGCCAACTCCTCCATTGCTGGCATGAAATGAGGGCGGCCTATGGCTTCCATTGTGCGGGTGCCAAACGCTGGCCATCTCCCTACCCGCTTAAGTCCTTTAGCGGCGTATTGGACTGGAGTGGCTGCATAATGGCCTCTGTGACACTCTTTGTCCTCCTGTGATCGCTAGTGAGAAGACTCCCATTGAAAAGCAGGAATTTATGGTCAAGCATCTGTTTCCCCAAACAATCACCATCAGCCTGAAAAGCTTTTAGTACACAGGAATCCAAATGGGTTACACTTTACCAAAAAGATTTATCCCCTCATTTACAGCCCCCCCCTTCTTTTTCTCTCACCATGTCCATAATGGTTTTTGCTCTTACCCCCTCATGCCCTATGTTTATATTTTTCACTCTTTACCCTCTCTGTTTTCCTCGACCTCTCACTATTTTTCCTCTCTAACTGCTTTATATCCCCCTGTGTCCCTTTCATCAAAATCCATGGCCTTTGAATCTCCTCTCGCCCTCCTATCCCTTCGTACAACCCCCCACGCCCCACCCCACTCTCTCTCTCTCCCACTGTTCTCTCTCAGGCTCAATGCAAGCCATGAACAAAACCCGGCACATCATGGAGAAGGGTGGCACGCATTTCTCAAACGCTTTCTCCACCACGCCCATGTGCTGCCCGTCCCGCTCCTCCATCCTGACAGGGAAGTACGTGCACAACCACCACACCTACACCAACAACGAGAACTGCTCGTCACCCTCGTGGCAGGCCCACCACGAGCCGCACACCTTCGCCGTGCACCTCAACAACTCTGGCTACAGGACAGGTGAACACTTCAAGCCTGACCCAAGCTTCACACACGTAGTTTAAGTTGAAAGTTTCACAGATTCATTGGCGCTTGAGGACAACATTAACATACTGCTCGCCTGTTCCTCACTCAGCCTTTTTTGGAAAGTATCTGAACGAGTACAATGGCTCCTATGTGCCCCCTGGCTGGAAGGAATGGGTAGCACTGGTGAAGAACTCACGCTTCTACAACTACACCCTCTGCAGGAACGGAGTACGAGAGAAACACAGCAGCAGCTACTCAAAGGTATTAATGCATTCCTCTCTCCCTGAGAGATAAACCTACTTACCTTTACAGAATGAATCCCTGCATGAAAGTAAAAGTTAAACAAACCGTTTTTAGATTAATTTTAAAAGCATTACTTTTAACAGTAACAATATTTTGTAATTGAGATCACTAAATAATTCAACTTAAAAGGCATCATGTTTATCATTTCTAAAATCATAATTTTAGTTAAATACACAAAATGCGATGCATACATATATATATATGTATATATATATATATATATATATATTTTTTTTTTAATTTCATGGAAAGAAAACATGGCTGAATGTTTCCTTTGGTGTAAGCAAATCAAAAATAATGATTTTTTCTAACTTGAAAGCATCATGAGGGGATTAAGATGAATATGTGGGTTTGAAGGAGTAAAGTATGATCAAGTCCAGTGTGGGTCATTATTTATTTAGTAGATTTTGACACACAGACACAGTAAGTCAGTAACGGGCACTGACCCAGCACAGTAAGACCTTGACGTCTGCTTTTTTAGTCTCCACTGTCACTCACTGAGTGCCTGATGGACAATGTCTGCCCGCTCCACAGGACTACCTGACAGACATCATTACCAACGACAGCATCAACTACTTCCGTATGTCCAAGAGGATGTACCCTCACCGCCCTGTCATGATGGTCCTGAGCCACGTTGCTCCGCACGGTCCAGAGGACTCCGCCCCCCAGTACAGCTCTGCCTTCCCCAACGCATCACAGCACATGTAAGAAAAGAAAATTAGGGAACCTCTAAGTGCGAGAACAAACATAAGATTGATGTAATTAACCAAGCTTTGAGCCGCAGATTGTTTTGGGATGTTTTATGATAATAAATTCACCCGCACAAATAAGGGGAAACAGTTTGAATAGAACTGCCTTTGCCTGTTTGGTGTAAACCAATTTGGCTTATGTGGGACAAAGCTGACAAGCAAAAGGGTAAATTTTTACATTTTCACATTCACAGCTATTTGCTTGCATATGAGTCATCCACATTCACGCTTCCTTTCATTTGACCCAGAATGACACAAATTCCATAATCTCAGCTCGATCTTATCTTCCTGTGCCTGCAGTATGCTGTTGGCAGCTGAGCCCTCTCCACCCTCTCCCTCTCCACAGCCAGTGTTTCACTCCAGTTTATTTGGCTCATGTGTTGTTCACATTAGTGCTACCACCATAATGAGCTCTGCTAATTTGTACCATTTTGTCAGCCATGATCAAAGAGAGGCATGAATGATGTATGTTTAATGCATAGGTAATTATTTAGGTGCACACACACACACACACACACACACACACACACACACACACACACACACACACACACACACACAGACACACATATAAAACATATGAGGCTCGGTCTTCTTCGCCGTCCATGCTTCTGACTGGCTGTCTAGTGCTGCTAGCTAATGGCAGACCTGCTACTGGCCTCGAGAGACAAATCCAAGGCCAGTAATGAGACAGCAGTTTCTGCCCCCTCCCTCCATACCCCTCACACCCTCCTCTTGCTTCATCTAATCCCTCCAGCATCATTAACCTGTGCCACACAGGCTTTATACACAGAATACTCTGAAAATTCAGCCCCAGTGTCTTTGTACAAACTTTTAATTGCTCTTTCTCCATAAATTTGCTCTCCCACGGGTGATGTTTTCTGAATGCGCCTGTGCTGGCTACTCTCCTCACTCCATCTCCCTCTGCCGTTATCAACCACATGAAGAGAGAGAGGCAGTAAAAGTCTGGCACTCCTCTGGTGATAAACCTTCTTCTCACCTTGGCACCTTGCAGACACATCCTCACACTACATTAGAGCTCCCACTGTGGACCAGGCTGTGCGAGACATTAGCATTTCTAAAAAGTCTAATCGATCCACTTTAAACCTTAAATATATTTTCTTCTAGGATCCCATTAGCTATTTAGCAGTGTTTATTCGCAAATAATTAAAGTTCCATATGGCTCGGAGTTAAATATTGATCAAACTGTGCTCACTTTGTACAGGCCATTGATTGCAGTGCTTTGCATTTTACATGGTGTATGTAACCTCCAGTTTAGCATTGTATAAACAGTTTTCTGGCTACTTTGGAAAGAAAAGGATAAAGGCAGGCAGATATGATTGCTGTGAATGCATAATGTAACTGTGCACACATTGGTACATTCTCTATGATCCAATTTACAGCAACAGAATATGGAAACTACATATAGACATGGAAAAAACAACTGAATGCAAATGTATGGTGAAATATGCTGACATATACTGGAATGAGTCATGTGCTTTGCGATGTCCTCTTTTTAGGATGTAAAAGAAAGCCACAACATTTAAATGTTAATAAATGAAAAAGTGGATTTTTGGTTGGTGGTTTAATTTGAAGTGTTTCTCTCTTCTCCCACTTTCAGAACCCCCAGCTACAACTATGCCCCCAATCCAGACAAGCACTGGATCCTCCGCTACACAGGACCTATGAAGCCTGTCCACATGCAGTTCACTAACATGCTGCAGCGCAGGAGGATGCAAACCCTGCTGTCTGTGGATGACAGTGTGGAGAAGGTAGGCGGACCTGCAGGCAGATAGACATATGGTTAAACACAGAGGCACACATGCACACACACTTAAATGCACCAGACACACTCACATTTCATCTGACAGTCTCAGGTCCTGGGAGATCTGTGCTTGTTCTGACTGGGGTTGTGTAATGTATTCACTGACACACTTGGTAAATTGTTCAATCCCTTTTTCCTTGAAACTGGCACAGGAGACTTGAGCTATCAAACGTGAAGTGTAACTTTTTACACTCTGTGAGTGTTTGATGACTTATATCCTCCGTAGGTGTACAACATGTTGGCGGAGACAGGGGAACTGGACAACACCTACCTCATTTACACCTCAGACCACGGCTACCATATTGGCCAGTTTGGCCTGGTCAAGGGCAAGTCAATGCCTTATGAGTTTGACATCCGTGTTCCCTTCTACGTGCGAGGACCTAACGTGGAACACGGCGCCATGTGAGTGACTTAGTTTTCTGTTATTCATACAAAATTCTCAAACTAGATGCTGTAATCTATAAACACATTATGACAATGTGACCTTTATAGTAAATTGCTTTTAAAAATATCACTTAATTCTTGCTTCCCTGCAGTAATTCTCATATAGTGTTGAACATTGACTTGGCGCCGACTCTGCTTGACATGGCCGGCGTTGATATCCCAGCAGAAATGGATGGCAAGTCTATCCTCAAGCTGCTGGACACAGACAGGCCAGTCAATAGGTGAACACACTCATCAACTAGTTTGCTCACTATCTTGGCATTCAATCGACAATCGAAGAATGGCATTTAAAATGTTGCAGATTAGGTGGAGATGTGTCAAGAAGTAATTTACCTGAAGCTTTATTGAATCTCTGCTCTTTGTGTTTTCTTGAATGTTATGAAATGCACAATCCAAATACAAATATGTAACACCACTTTCTTTTCAGCGCTGTACAAGGATGGTATTTGAAAATAGACTGTATGTTTGTTCAGTGCAAATATCACAGAGTGGTTTGACAGGTTTTTTTATTTCTTTTTGCTCATTTCCAGGTTCCAGTTGAGCAGGAAGGGAAAAACATGGAGAGATTCTTTCCTTGTGGAAAGAGGGTATGTCTTATTGATCGACCTTTTACAGGACATGTTCTCATTCCAGACATTGTCTCCTGGTGACATCAGGCTCCTTGTCTTTGGCTGACAGAAAAAAAACTTCATGTGTTTTCCTGTTCTTTCAGGAAGCCTCCACACAAGAGAGCCGATGGGAAGGAAATGGCCCAGGAGGAGAACTTCCTGCCAAAATACCAGCGGGTGAAGGACCTGTGCCAAAAAGCAGAGTACCAGACCTCCTGCCAGCAGCCAGGACAGGTATCTGACCTGAAAGAGCTAGAAAAGACAGCTTATTAAAGTTTGAGGAGAACGACATGGAGTGTAGCTCGCACAGGGTGATAATTTGCAATCTGGTTGACAGTTTACTGAGTGTAATATAGTCATTGTGCTCTCAGGGTTCCATTTAACATCAAAGTCTCATTTTTAATCCTTCAAAATTAAGTGCACTGAGTATGACATGTGTTTGCGTCTGTGTTCATGTGTATAAAGAACCGTCTGATTTGCTAAGAAATCTGAATAAAAACACTGCACAGTAATTTTAGGTTAACCCCATAAAGGATATTTTTAATCAAAGGGTTTCTGTGCATCAAAACTGATGCTGTGCTATAGCCTGAAGACCAATCATCATCATATTTTCCTCTGCTGTGTTTCAGAAATGGCAGTGTGTGGAGGACCCGACTGGCAAGCTGAGGCTGTATAAGTGCAAGGGCATGGCTAGTCTCTATGCCCCACGTATGCAGGCTCTGATGGCCAGCGGTGCCTCCCAGCTATCTCTCGCATCCAACTCAGAGAGCTGTAACTGTGGGGATGTGGGCATCAAAACATCAGTCCTGAAGAGAAAGAGGCTGTTCACCAAAAAGAGTGAGTTGGTCTTGTCACTCACATGTGCCATTGTTCCAGAAGTTATTAATAGATATGATTTTGTTCAGAAAGACACTTGTTCTTTACTTTGAAATGTCCTTGCAGTAGCCTACAAAGCCTTGCCAAACAGGGCCATTAATCTCAAGCTAAAATAGCCAGCTTTTGAAGTATTCATGAGATGAGAAGTACGTGTCTGTGCTGCCATCAAGTGGTGGACTGGAGTAGACAAGTGAGCCTTTAATCACAGGGCCTTGAAAGAAATAAATATAAAACCTTGTAAATTATTCATGGAATATGAAACCAGTTGCATGAAATGTTGAATCCTATCATCAGTATTTTTTTTTGGCAAGTGCCGGCCTTCACTTGTCCACATCATCATAGATCCTGATCTACAGTATCCAAAACACATCCTTCTTTTTCCGTCTTATTCAGATTCCTCTGTCTCGTCTTATTCAGAGATGAAATCCAGTAAGAGTGTCTCTAGGAAGCGCTGGGCTCGGTCTGTATCATTTGAGCTGGATGGAGACCTGTACGCCGTGGACCTGGAGGAGGGCTACCGGCCCCTGGGATCCAGGAACAGCAGCTGGACCAGAGACAGGAGGAGAGGAGTGGGGAATGAGGAGGACAACGAAGAGTTCAGTGGTATGGGGGTCACAGCCAAACCCACCACCAGCAGCAGACTCACACCGCCTGCTGCTCTTAAAGTCACATACAGGTGTGTGTGTGTGCGTGTGTGTGTTTGTACACTCTGCACTGATATGTAATGTTTAAGGTTAAAAATGAAAGAAATAACTTGTTAGGCAATAATTTAGACTGTAGATGGATGATTTTTAGTCTGGCTAATATGTTTGTTTGTTTCCTGCAGGTGCTCCATTCTTATGAATGACACAGTAAAGTGTGATGGAGGACTCTACAAGTCCCTTCAAGCATGGAAAGACCACAAACTACACATCGAGCATGAGGTACTGACACATTCTCTTCCTCATTCCCCATTTCTCAGGTTGATTAGTAGCTTGTGGTGCATAATGAGGTTTGTGTCCTGTTGTGTTTAGATTGAAACACTGCAGACCAAAATCAAGAACCTGCGTGAGGTAAAAGGTCACCTGAAAAAGGTGCGACCAGAGGAATGTCAGTGTAACACTCCCAGGTGAGAATTCATCAGGACCACACTGTCACCAGCAGCTTAGTGATATCACCATGACTTTGACAGTTGTCTTTTGTATTTTCAGTTATCTCCTGAAGAATAAAGAGACTTTCAGGCTAAACGCAGGACGCATGCACTCACTTAGGTAAAGATTTACATTATGTGACAATGACTGAGTGACTGATTTTTATTTCCTCTTGCAGATTGACTGTATTGAATTTTGTTTGTTCTCATTAGGATGCCGTCCAAGCAGAAGAGTCAGTGGCTGCAGAAGGAGCAGAAGCGCAGAAAGAAACTACGTAAATTCCTGAAAAGGCTCCAGAACAATGACACCTGCAGCATGCCTGGCCTCACCTGCTTCACCCATGACAACCATCACTGGCAGACTGCCCCCTTCTGGACAAGTAAGGAATGACATGTATTTGTAGAAAATGATTTTAAGAATATTGTGTGGAACATTTTTTATATTTCCCAGAGCAGACATGATGAAAAAAATATTTTTGGGACACTGGTGTAATATCCGTTGTTTTCAACTCTTACCCCTCCCTTCCTCACCTGATCCCTCTTCCTCCCTCCCTCAGTGGGTCCATTCTGTGCATGCACCAGTGCCAACAACAACACATACTGGTGCCTCAGGACCATCAATGACACACACAACTTCCTGTTCTGTGAATTTGCAACTGGTTTCCTGGAGTATTTTGACCTCAACACTGACCCATACCAGGTATGTCGTTTGTACAGACACACATATAATGGCAGCTACAAAAATAACTTACAAATAATAACTATAAAATAATCTCACAACATGATTGATAGTGCATTCCTGTGAACACAGGGGGCACAGATTTTCCAAAGATTTCCAGAGATATTCCAGAGTTTCCAAAGCCCTTGCTGACATTGCGCCCTTATTATTCCTGCAGCTGATAAATGCTGTCAGCACCCTCGACCGCAACGCTCTGAATGCAATGCATCAACAGCTCATGGACTTAAGAGGCTGCAAGGGACATAAGCAATGCAACCCGGAGAAGGGTGAGTAAAAAACCACCAAGGCAAACATGATGGATTACAGTGTCTCCAGTAATTTCAGCCTGAGACTAATGTTACCTCCACTTCCTTTCAGGAGGAAAGGAGCGAAACTACTTCAGTGAATACAGGTATTTTTTTTCTTCCTCCTGCAGCACAGCTTATTACTTTTACAAACACTGCAGATGGAACTCATGTTACAATATGAATTCTGAGAGGTTACAGCCTCCCTAGTGAGTCTTTGGTTATGTTTTTTGCTCATTATGAGTCATCTGGGGAGTCAAGGAAATGAAATACAGTGATGTTGTGCTGAAATTGAACCTCTTCAAACTGCCATGGTTCCTTAATGTTGTGATCAAAGCCTTTTCAGCATGCAGTAGCAGAAGCCAAAGAGGGCCAAAATACAAGCCTACTTTTCAGCTTCTGCTGTTCCCTTTTTGTAATGAAGCCTAATTGCTTGTCTCTGCTGTGCGTGTGGGGGTGTATGTGGGTGTGCCTGCTTGTGTGTGCGCATGCTTGTGTGTGCACCTGTGTGTGTGTTTTGTGTGTATATACCTGTGTGTCTGTCTCCATGCACATGCATTTGCCCTGCGCGTGTTTACGTGCTGTGCATGCTTCAGGCCAGTTCATCGTCGAAAGAGGCCAAAAGTGAAGAAGCCTTCCTCCAAATCGCTGTGAGTTTGTCATAACCCATCTGTTCCTTTGTAGTCAGCCAAGTTCTACTCCTATTTCTATCCAGATTTTTTTTTAGCTTGGTAAGATGACCCAGCAGCATGCCCCCTCTCTCCTATTTACTGTAGTTCTGTACTCCTCTAATTACAGTAACTCTCATTTACCTGCATTGCAAAGCAACACCATCTTCTTTTTCATTCACCCACTCAAGTCAAATTCAGTAAAGCAATGCAGATGTGAAATTGTCTCATTATGTTGCATTCTCAGTCCTGTTATTGTCATTTCTTACTTTTCCTCGCAGTGTTGGTAGGAACAGACCACAACTGGAGCCATGGTTTCCAGTGAATGCCTCAAGTGGCACATTTAACTCACAGTATTTGTTTCCCTTGCACAGAGGGCAGATTTGGGAAGGGTGGGTTGGTTAACCACCTGCATTCCACAACCAACCACATCGCCCTCCTCCAGTGAAGGAAGGAGAAGGGGGAGTGCAGGCAAACCCAAGGACCTTGACTACACTTCGATGGACCATAACCTGAGATACTATTCTTCTCTAATCTGGGTTTTAATTTTTGAGAGAGCTGCTCTTTGCAGCCCTCACCCAGACAGAGGAGATGCTGAGACTGAGAGGAAGCTTAAAGACTCTCCGACTCGTCAGTTCTACCTTTGCACACCTTTCATACCCATTTACATCCTCTGTTGCCCTCAGCTGTCAGGACCATTAACATCAACAAGATGCTGTGAATCAGGTGGGACAGTTTGGTATCCGCAAGCCATTCACTCCAACAGTACTGCTTGTAGATAATATATATCAGCTTTAATCAGCTTTCTTTCATGTCGTATGGAACTAGGTGGAAACATGAGTTACATGACAACTCTGCTGCTACGCAACGATGTCATGGCCTCATGATGTCTCTGTGGTACATGCTAAATCGTTAGTGCTTCGAGTCAAAACAAGACATTTTCTTTCCCTGCACCATTTTGTCTGCACATGGAAGTGGTGTGGACTTTTAAACAACCGACGGTAACAAACTCTTTGCCATAATCTTTTGTATAATAGTTGATCTTAACGCTGATGAATGTCCTTTATGAAGCATCATCTTCCTCAAAGCTGTGAGATATGAGGTGACTACAGTTTGACTGCCTTGATCCAAGCACATACAATGTCAGCTACACCTTGGACAGCCCTACACTAACCACTGTCTCACAACAATACAATCCAAATATCCAGAATATTTGACCACTGGCAGAATACGTTATTAGTGAATGCCATCTTACTCCTTTGTATTGTCAGTACCACACTGTAGAAATATCAAAAAAGTTTGTTCAGCTCGCTATACATGGTGCTACAGGATAACAATACAGAAGTAAAATCTTGCTGTACAGTACAGTATGTATTTGAATGTATGTTGTGCAATTAATATAAATGTTTACAATATTTTTTATAATACTGAAGAGGCAGACCTCATTGTATGATATGAGTTGACAAAATGAACATATAGGGAGAAATGTAGAGAAATTCCATTGCCCTCAATTTGTATGTTTGTCCTTTCCTTATTTACATCGGAAAAGCACTTAGAGGGTTCACTGTGAAGAGACGCGCCATGTACATTTAATGGATATTTTACTCTGTGCCAGAGGAAAAACACAAGTGTAATACTTATTGATGTGAATTTTAGCTACCTGCCTTTGTTAGCTTCTTTTACTTTTTTTTTTCTTTTTTTCTTTTTTTTTTAGCAAATATTTCCATAGACCTGAGTGCTGATAGTAATTGTGAATAAAGTGTTGTTTGACCATAAACATGACCCGACTTTTATTTTGACATTAGCTTTGGTTTTCTTGGGTTCCTGTCCAGCAGGTGTCTCTGTCTGCTTGTCCACAGGTTAACGCCGGCGTTACACGGTTACTTACAGCTCACTGCAACTACAGTTGTGGAAAGACAGCAAGTTATTATAATGAAAGAGAGAGTTAAAGTCTTCAGCTTTGTAACTGACTGGGTCAAATGAGAATACATTGCATAAATGAGCATATTATATCTCTGATATTCAAATATGAATCCAGTAATCAAAGTATCCCTCATGCGGGTGTATGCTTAGCACCTTCTTTTCAAATTGTGGTTTTAGCAGAGGTGTAAAACTCAAGCTAAAATCTGGTCTTATTTTACCGAATATTTGAATAGCACATCTTTTGCAAGTAAAAAGACTTTTTTTTAACTGCATTTTTGTAACAACCATAATAAATAAACAGTAAAAACTAAGTGTCACAAAATAAATGTATGCAGTTATCTTCATTCACAGAAATAATGACAACTCTGGTTCCCAGGAAATAACTTATTTTGCTATCACTAGAAAAGTTGGCAGACACGTGATTTTTCCGTTGAAGCCTGATGCCACAGTTAGATAGCAGATAAAAGTTTAACATGTTATCACTCTACTTTGTTTAGCCAACTGAGCCACTAATGTCATGCTTATGGTTTGGCTCCTACTCTCCAACCAGCTTAATCGTGGGGGATAAAGGGTGGGGGGTGAGGTGGGGGTGCAGACTGGGTGACCCCCATACCAACCTATGACTCACGTGCAGAGGCGGAGACTCCATATCGGATTCACCGCCGGAGGACAGTACCGTGCTCACTACTCGAACAGCTCTGTGCTCGGAAAAGTAACCTCAACTTAGACACTGGCAAAATATCGTTTTCCCTTTGTTTACGCCTTGTTTACAATGTGAAGAAAATGGCCGGGACAAGGTAAGTTAACTCTCACTTTAATTTCAAACCGGTACAAAGTTTAACTGGAGAAAGTTTAAAAGCTGAGGCTCGGCTGTTTTGCTTTCACCCCGCCGCCGCCGACAGCTTCCTGAGGGCAGCCAACAGTGAACAAGACCACACCGCTCAATGATAATGTTCAAGCATCTGTGTAGGTAGTTTTAAATTTTAAATGTTACTTTAAGTTGTGTGAAAATGATTTACTACACTGAGAAAGTATAGTAATGTGAAGCGATTAGTTTGAAAGGATTTTTTAAAAACCCGAAATTCAAATTGCATTTTGCAGATTTATTTACGTTACAATAACGTTGGGCAGTTATAAACCATGTTAACTGATTTGTAGTTTGCTAGCTCGTAACTGAGGAAAAACTATGAGAGACGTTTGGCTCTTTTTAAGTGAAGTTTTGCCTTCATTTACTGTTCGTAGTAGAGTTGAATCAGCTAAAAGCCGCTTGGGTGATTGAGCCTACTTTCCATGTTTTTTTTATCATCACCACCCCCATCTTGTGATTTCTTTTAAACTGGTCCACAAGTTGTTTAAGTCTTTGCTGTGGTTAAAAGAGCAATAACTAAAACGGAAGGCAAATGTTCCACAACCCATTTGTTTCTCCTGTTTTTACTAGTGGAAGGTAACTGGGGCTTGTTAGCCACTGGTTTGATCTGCACATGCTGGATTTCTTCAGCATCTGCTTTGACTGCACATGTGCATTAAAACTTTGTTTAGCTTTCATCGGTCGCCTGAGACAGATGGTTTGCTTTAGTCCACACCGTTTATTTAAAGCTACTGAGATGTATAGGATAAGCTACTTTTGGCTCCTTTCAAATTTTCCCTTCAACTGTTTTGATACACATATTTCAGATGGAGACTTTTTAGTGCTGTGCCTTTTTATATAGTTAGGACTTGATGGCTGAAGCTGAAGTTATGAGAGTCTTTGATGTTTCAGTATTCTCCCTCCTATGTGTGGACCTGATGTTGAATACTGTGCCATGTACACCGTCTGACAAAAAAGCTGCCCAGTCAGATGTCATTTCTATAGCCTGAAGCTGCTGGCACACCGTGCCAACCTGACATCCTGGGTGCGGCAGTTCCACCATCTCCCTGCCCAGCTAGAGCTCATCTGATGAGTGTTGGGAGCATTTGCATGGTGTTAAATTTGTGGTTCCTAAAGACATGTTAACTTCTCTATCTATCCAGTACTACATCCTTATCTGTCTATCTGCTATATCACTGGCAGGATGGCGTGAGCGGACAATGGTCCATTTGGTTTTTCTGCCTCCTAAAACCTGTCTGTTGTTCATTTGGGTTTGTCAGTGTGTGGGGCTGACTCTATAATAGGATCTTGTCTCACTGTTTGTCCTGCTTGCTCACAACAGTATGCAGACAAAAGAACAAACTATGCATCCCTCTGACAAGATGGATCAAAATTGGGTCTTTTGACAAAGACCAGGCAGGATGTCCATCCTACAGAGGATGTGACAATAGACCTGTTTGTTTGACTTTTGAGAGGAAGTGATTTTGAAGCTTGTGCTCCAGTGATAATGTCTTGTTATGGGTTGTGATATGTTGATATTATATCGACTGTGACTGGGCTTTTTTTTCTTTTTGGGTGAGATCTTTTTGGACATACAACTTCAAATCATATATACTTCCAGCATCTTCTTTCCTGTTATCTGTACTGTAATCCTTGTCACATCCATGTGGATCAGTGCTCTTAACACACACTTTTTATCTGACCGTCACAATGACACTGCAATGAGGTTAAGGTGATTTTCCCAAACACATTTATATCTACTTGTACATCCACTGACATTTTGAATCTTCCCTCTGTGGGGATTAATAGCCAGTTTAACTTCCTAGCTCCCACTAGGTTGAACCTGATGCTTAAGAGTGCTGATCATCACTCACTGGCATTACAGAGGATAATAACTTGTAGGATGGCACAAGGAAGGCTAGACCATAAGGATGAATGAGTCATCTGCTTCAAAAGACTTGAACAAGTCTGTATAATTGTAATGAGCTGTCACAGTGCAAAATTTAAATGGGCTCTTTACACAAACATTATACACAGAAATTGAATGTTGAAACAAAGGGATGAAATGTAGTGACAGTCTGCCAAGAAATGAAAAGTTGTAGCCTCTGAAATATACCATTATGTTTGTCTCTTTGTAGCACAACCCCAAACTCAGTTGTTACTATGAAAAATCTGTCCCTACACACTGTTCCCCTGCAATGGCCCCTTAGATTATAATCCACCCCACTGCTCCCCTTGGGCCTGCACAGACACAGCGTTAACATCTTCACCAGGCTGCTCTGCATTTCTAATCCTGGAGAGCCTGCCGTCTGCACCTTCACTTCCTCTGGAGGACAATCCGGACATGTTATTCCTGTGTGGCTCCTAAATCAGCCGCTGACCCACCCCCACCCCCTAAACACCCAGTAACTCTGCTCTGGGATTAGACTCTGGCCTCGTTTGTCATGTCAGCAGGGGAGGATTCGGAGGGATGTTGTGGTCAAACTCAAAATGAAGTTACTAACTGCTACTGGTGGTTGACAAGCAGGTCAGATACTAATGGAAAATGTTGTTTTAGCAGCACACAGATGGCAGAGTAGGAATGCTGGGGTTTATTTTAAAAAGACTGCAGGACATGTCTTCATTTATAACATGTATGACCCTGAATGATACGACAAAACAAAGTTTGGACAATGAACATTTAGAGTTATTAAGCACAATTACATCCTAATAGGTTAATTCATTTTTTTGTCTTTGGACAAGTGACCCATTGTTCCTGCTCTGACAGCTGGTGTACTGGACAGAAAGGCAGGCCTGTTTGTGGTAAACACCCTTAACCCGCCATCAGCCTCTCCTGCACATGTTCACTCTCGTCCAGAGTCTTTTCTGACCTGAAAAGTCCCCACATGCTCTTCAACTATGGGCAAGGGGTGGATATTAGGAAGGACAGGGACTTCTGTTTGGTCAGGCTTACCCCTATAAAAGGGAACTTATTGACCCTGTTGCGGAGTAGTGTCTCAGACAGACAGTGACTGTTCAGCAGAGCAGTAAGGGGGCCGGAAGTTCCCAGCATTTCTGCAGAAAGCGGCAGTATTCGTGGGAGAAGGCAGGATGGCGGGACAAGACAATACTCTCCATACAGAAATGACAGAGTGCTGCTTCTCTGCGGTCAGTTTGTAGGCGGATTACTGCGAGGGTATCTGAAGTAACATTCAAGACTGCCAACACAAAAATGTTCTCCTGGAATTGGTGGCGAGGTAGGCATTATTATCTAACATCTCATGAAGAATCAGTTTGTTGCAGTGGGGGTGAACACTTTGGCAGCTACAGGGAGTGAATTCACTCAGGCCATGTAAAATCGCTAGTTGGAGAGCAGCATGGGAAAGACTGGCTTTGCTGAAGGTGGCTGAGCGACCTTGTGAGATCCGGTCTAATCCAGTGCCCGTGAAGAACAGAAACTGTCTCTAGATCTGGATTAGGGCAGCTGTTGAAAGAGGTCACCGTAGACCCTGTATACATGTCCCAAGCTCCTCCCTGGCCCTTCTCTGATTGGCTGGGCTCGCTTGTGTGGAGGCAACACAGAGAGTTCTCGTTGAATTAAGTCTGCCTGTTGATCTGACAATAGTCTGCATTGTTCTGTACCATCAGAGGCTTCAGAATAGGGTGCATTTCACAGGCTTTGTAATGCATATGGCCGTGAGTCATCACAGGACATTCTTGTCAACTAGGTAACCATTTTTATTCCTATTCCCACAGAGCTCACAGACTTATGTAAAACAAGAAACTGTTGGCAAGTGCAGCAAAAAGGAATAATTTTTCTGACTTCTCAATCAGATGAGTGTGTTCTTTCACAAGGAAACTGTCAACACAGTCTGTTGCCTTCCTTTGTGTTGAAGGGAGTACAGGTTGGAATTGTGCAGAAAGCTTCAAAATGCGAAAAGTCCACTGTGCATTTTTTTTACCCACACCATAGTTTTAAAATAGATCCCATGTCCAGCAGTGGCACACATTGCTATAGGCCTAGCATATAGAACAGTGGCCAAACCCGACCATCTGGTTCTTGCGGTTTTAGGCGTGTGCAGTCATTCTAGTGACAGAACTGCCAATCATGCTGTTCTCAGATACTAGAAGATGAAAGAGTTCACCCGAAGTGTATTTACTCATCTTCACTGAGTGATGCCAACATTTCCTTGTTATCAGATAGGCTGTTCAGGTGGTAAGTCTTTTGCTGGATTTTTGTCACCTTTACTCCTGCAGCAAGAGAGATGGAAACTGTAACACTTTCATTTTACATATGTGATGATCATGGGACTGTCCAGTATCTTTACTATTTTTATTCATTTCACCACTGTTATAACCAAACTTTCACCATCAGTATCAACAGCTTGTTGGTTTCTTATCCATGCAGGCCTTTTGGAGGTGAATCAGGTGACAGAGTGAGCTCAGGAGTCTCCCCCCCCGGTCATCTTTATCCTCCCATCCTAGCCTTGTTCTCTTTGCCAGGCATGTGGCTGCCCGGCTGTTTGGTCTTAAAGTGCTTTACCTCTCTCCCCCTCCTTGGCACCCTGCCGCCCTGGTGCCTGGGCCGCCTAACACAAGTCCAGCCCTATCATGCCTGACGTGTTTCGTAGTGAAAGACGACCCCTGGACTCATTTGCCAATGTCAGCACGTGGCAAGTGAGGAATGGACACTGACAACTGCTGCTGAGGGGGAAGGGGGGTGGGGGGGGTGTGCAGTAGAGAGAAAAGGTATGAACCTGTTTGATGCCATGTGGTTCAATTTGAAAACTCTGATTATGTGCCCACATTTAGTGTTTTCTATCCACATTAAAAGGCAAAAACTCAAATGTCTGTCAACTCTCCATGATAACATATTTTGTTTCAATATAGCCAAACACACAAGCTTAGTGTTGTATTGATTTTTCTCAGAAGATTTAACATTTTAATATGTTATAAATGCTGCATGCTAAA